CCCGCCAGGGAGTTTATGATGCGCCAGAATCATTTTCGTCGGCCGTTTTGTCGATGGCCGCTTCAAGGCCGCGTCGCTGCCGCGTCATGACCCGTCCTACGCGCTCGACAACATCTGTTTATGAAGTGGAACATGAAAGGCAGCCCTCGCATCCTTATGATACTGAGATCATTGCCTGTCTCATACTGAGCATCATGCCAAATTGGGTATCTTCTGAATGCACCGAGAATCCGAGATCGGGGGTTTGCCAGCTCAGGGATTTGCCGAGCCCGACGAGCAACTCACTTGACCGCGTTGGCGCGCCGCACGCGTTTCAGCCTTTCCGGCGTGCAGCCAATTCGCGACATGATCTGCTGCTGCCCTTCGTCTTACGCTGGCTCTACAACTCCAAAGGATATCATGAAATCTCTGCGCCTCTGGTCCTGATACTGCCCTCTCTATATATTCTTGAAATATGCCTGAGAAGACTTCGAAGCCCTCCGCGCGCAAGTCCTCTCACGCCGAGATCCACGACCAGGTCCCTCAGCGCTCTCCCGTGAACGCCTTAAATCTGGAGGCTTTCTGTACCAAAGCGGACTGCTCGGAGCGCGTCAGGCTCTTTATCGCAGCTCAGACGAGCTATGCCCGAGTTCATGCGCAAGAGGGGCGGGCAGAGCTCGCGTCTTGGAAGTCTGACGGCACGCCGCGCACACCGCCCAAAATTGATCCGCTTGTATCTGTCTTCGATACACCGATCTTGAAGCCGAGGGTACCAGGGACGGAGCTGGGTGCAGATACAAATCGGAAGCATTCTGGCTCTGGACCCTCCGCCTCGCGAGTGCCTCAGAAGACGGACCAAGTGCACGATTCCAAGGATCAGAAGGAGAGATCTAGAGAGGGGAAGCAAAGGAATCGCAGAGACAAGGGAAAGGGAGAGGACGATGAACAGAACGATAGACCTGAAGAGACCAAACGACCTGCTGCTGCTCGAAAGCTGAAGCCGATTCCCGTGGCGCCCTCCAAGAAGCGTCCAAAGACGCCAACGAGTAGTGAGCTCGAACACGTCGCTAGTACGTGCCCCACAGGTCCCATAACCTTGCAAGCTGACTTCTTGCCTCAGGGCTGGCAGATAGACGCGAGCGGAAGCGCGCAAGAAGGGAGATTGTCAAGCCTGCGCCTATCGCGAGTTCCTCGGTCGATAAGGAGAACGATGGAGAAGACGACGTGGAGGACGGCGCTTCATTAGATGTCAAGCTGAAGAAGCCCACGAAAGGTGGAAAGGCCAAACCGGCGAAGAAGAAGAAAGTGCCCGCTGGAATGGCTCTCTTGTACGGGTTCTCTGCACCCAATGTCGGCACGAACAGGTTGACAGTGCGGCTTCTTATCTGTCCCTTCTGGATGTAGGACTGAGCAGACGGGTACAGATGAAGCCGAGTCAGAATTCCCAATACGGCGTGTTCAATCGGGGCCGGGCGTCTTCTAAAGCTCAAGTAAGCGCGAGACCAAGACTTGCCCGGGGTAAGTCTCTCAAAGCACCCGCTAAGCGGTACCGTCATAACAAATTGGCAGGTGCTCTATTCTCCGAGGAGCGATTCTTAAGCTTCAATCGGTCTCGTCCTGCAACTGGTCCATCGCTCCGCGCTGGACGTTTACGCCGACTAGTTGACGACGAAGAGGTCTCTTCTCGCCCGTCGACTGCTGCCTCAGTACCGGCCGTCTCCGTCCGCACTAAGCCCATAACTGGGAAAGGCAGCAAGAGACGTCGAAGTCCATCGTCCGATGTCGAACTCCCCAACGAATCTCTCGAGATTGCTCAAGAAGACTCCTGCGTAGCCACTGAATCCGCTCCTTGGGACATTGAAGATGGCCGCTCACTTGCCTCGCAAGCTACCTCCGCTTCTTCACCCAAAGAACCCTCGGCAGTCATGGATATTCGCCAGCATCGACTCGGGAAGTTACTTGCCACTTCTGCCATTCGGGCCGAGCCTGATTTGCGTGACGACGAAGACGTCTCTGAGAGTGGCCTTCATCGCGAGACTTCTCCTGGTCGTATTGGGCAAGATAATCTTTCGCAAGAGGGGGTCTCAAGTCGTCAACCCACCCGTGGCACTGTGTCTACCATCGCGCCTTCGGAATCAGCTTCGCAAGTCCTAAAGCGGGCCCAGAATGTAGTGACAGGGATGCAGCTCTCGAAATACTTTACTCGCCCACGCAAGCCTCCCACTGAAGAGTCGCGACCGACTAGTGCTCCTCCCAGGCCAATCCCGACCATTCAGCCAAAGCCGCCTGTGCGAGCCCCTCAGGCTGCACCAGTCTTGCCATCGCCAAGCCTTCGCTCACACTCGTTATCCCAACCTTTGCCAACCGCTGTCGCACAAGTTCTACCTGTCGCCTCATCACCTGACGTAAAACGTCCTTCATCCGCTGATAGTCTTGATCGTGCGCTCAAAGCTATGGACGTTCCCGATCCCAGTCTCCGCGTCCATTTCCAGCGTTCACAGCCATCTGCGAGGCGTCCAGTGACCGCCCCGGACATTGACCCATTCATCGGCCCTCAAGATTACCGAGCCCTAGAAACCCGTGCAGGCGCTTCGCGTGAGGCGGACGCGGCGGAAACCGAAGTCGGAACTCAATATGCTACTGACGAATACGGACGGGTCAACGCTATGGACGTGTACGTCGGATATAGCACGTTTCTTCGCGAAGAGTCAGACGACTTTGGCCACGAAGATCGTCCTCTTTCGGCTCATGACGTGCAGGACGACCCAGATTATGCAGAGGAGGAAGCGATGATGAACGTGGTTGAGTACATTGGCTCCGAACACTACCGGGATGCGGAGGGGTGGGTAGCCGGTACAGAGCCGGTGGAGGATGGTTACGCGGTGGATGAATACGATGGCTATGCTCTGCGCGAAGAAGATTCGAGCATGCAGTACGCGAATGACCAGACCCACTTCGAAGACGAATGGAGTGATGAGGAGGTCCGAGCCGTTTCGCAAACGCCGGGGCCGGCAGACCTATTTCTGCGCACGTCTTACCATGCAGAGGAGGATGTGGCGCGTCAGCTGCAGGGCCACTGGCGCCCGCAGACTTACTGACTGTTTTATGCAAATTGTTTTCTGGTCGCTTTCTTACCTTGCTCTCCCCCCTGCTCTCTCTATACCTGTTGTTTTGCATATGTGTACGTTAGTCGATGTAGCCTCTCGATGGTCTTGTAGCATAACTTGATAGCCTCATGTGCGAAGCCTCGCAGTATCCCCGATCTTCTGGAAGGCGCTAGTGTGGCAAGATGGTGGCCCCATCAGTGGCGTGAGCAATCAACGAAGGTATTTGTCGTTGTTTACGTACGCGCGTGGCGAGTCGCGTCAAGCGCGTCGGGCTGCGACCCAGGCGCGTCCAAACCCGCTTTACTCTTATACCACCATCACCCCCGCGTCCGTATCAAAGAGACTCGTCCTCCCGCTCTTTCGCTATCATCTTACGCGCTAATACCGCATGAGCGGAAAAGAAAACCCAATGGGCGCCGCGGTATGTTGTCACTCGTCGTCGCGTACCCCGGCAACCACTTACCGTGTCTGCTTTATGCCTTATAGGCCAGTTCTGGGGCGTTTGTCAAGCCCGAGCCGATCGATACCGAGCTGCCTGCGCGCCCGCTCCACCGATCTAACTCGGTTTCTAAACCGCCCGGCTCACCGAGCAAAGTCAAGCCCGAGCCTAGCGACCGCAGCGATATGGTGAGCTCAACTGCACGTACGGTGACCCATTGTCTTTACACGTCTTCAGCCTGTGCCTACTCCACCTGCCAGTCCTCGCAAGTTGACCAAGACCGATTCCTTCGCTGAGCTCAAGATGCGCCCGCGCCCCTCTGCCGACTTCCGTGCCGCGGCCGAGCGCTTCGAGAAGCATGCGTCTGCTGCAGAAATTGACTACACGCCTGAGAAGGCTCTTCAGGCCGGTCTCAGTTTCACGAAGGTCGTCGACAAGAGCGTCAAGAAGCTCGAGCTCGGTAGCAAGATGCGTAAGGACGTATGGTTACGTGAAATCGCAAGGTCGGACGCCCACTCTCTGGTTATACAATGTGTTGGCTGACTCGGATTGGTCTAGCCTCAAGACGCAGGGAGCGCCCACAACCATGATCGCCGTCTGCGGTGGTATGTATTGTCTTGGCATATATTGTTGCCATGTCTTACATGACTCGCCTTCAAGCTACTGGCGCGGGCAAGTCCTCTATTCTGAACGCCGTCCTTGACGACAACATTGTCCCGACGAGCGGCATGCGAGGTGCGTCATGGTTGACTTTTGGCTTGTGGCGCGCTCTTTGATTTGCTAATATTGATGTGCCACGCGCAGCATGCACGGCAACGGTTACCGAAATTGCGTATCACAACAAGAAGACTATTGAGGCCGATATCGCCTTCCTGTCCGAGAAGGAGTGGATGGAAGAGCTCAACGTACTTCTCGATGACCTGATCGACGAGGACGGCACCGTCAAGCGCTCAACCAACTTGAACTCCGACGCTGGTGTTGCTTGGTCCAAAGTCCACGCAGTATACCCGTCGCTTACGCATGATGTGATCGGTAACCTGACTGCCCAATGGGGCAAGCAGACCGCTGAGAAGATTGTCGAACGTGATCCTCGTATGTGCCCTTCTTCGAGCGACCGTCTATCGTTACTGATGTTCAACGCATCTAGGCGTACGCTCAAAGCTTGGTACCACGGTCAAGATCGTTGCGAAGGACTCGAAACAATTCGCCGCCGAGGTCGGCAAGTACGTCGATTCCAAGGACCCTAAGCGCGACCGCAAGAAGAAGGACAAGGAGCAGAAGAAGGCTGAGAAGGAGAGAGCCGAGAAGGCACCCATGACACTTGCGGAGATTCTGGCTAGTGGCGGTCATGCCAAACCCAAGAAAGACACGTCGGAGGGCCCCGCTTTCTGGCCTCTGATCCGCCTCGTCAATGTCCGGTGTAAGGCGAAGGCGCTTGAAACTGGCGCCATCCTGGTCGACTTGCCCGGTGTTGCCGACGCAAACGCGGCGCGTAACAATATTGCGAAGGATTACATGAAGGTAGGCGCTCCGGGTGGCTTTGTCGACTCACATTGACGCTTTGCAGAAATGTAACTGTATCTGGATCCTCGCCCCTATCACTCGCGCTGTTGACGACAAGACCGCGAAGGATCTCCTAGGCGATGCGTTCCGTACTCAGCTCATGAGTATGTCGTCAAATGGATATTTTTGCGGCAGAAGCTGACGTATATCTACAGTGGATGGCAATTACGACGCGCATACGATCACCTTCATCGCGTCCAAGTGTGACGACGTAAGCTGTAGCGAGGTCATCAATGCTCTCGGCCTCCACGAGGATGATGACTTGATGGCTATCGAGGACCGCATCGAGGAGTGCGACGACAAGATCGCTGAGCTCAAGCCACAAGAGAACTCGGCCAAGGCCACACTTGCCGGTTGGTGTCCGCGATGTTTTCCTCCACTGCTTCATGCTGAGTATAACCTCCAGCCATCGAGAAGAAACTGAAGGAGCTACGTCCGATCAAGCGTGAATACGATGCGTGGATCAAGGCCATTGAGGATGGGGAAGAGTTTACTCCGAAGCTTCTGGCCAAGAAGGCCGCCGCGAAGAAGTCCAAGACGTCCAAGGGTAAGAAGCGTAAGGCCGATGACTCTGGCCGCAAGGGTGGGGCGAAGCGTCGTAAAGCCGACTCCGACTCCGAGGCCGACGATGACGACGACTTCATCGTGTCCGACCACGACTCGGATGAGGACGCTGAAGGTTCCGACGAAGACGCTGAAGGCTCTGACGAGGAGAAGGACTCGGATGATGAGAAGAATTCGGACGACGAGGACTCCGACAAGAGCGACTCCGATGACGCAATTGACGTAGACGTTGAGGACGAGGAGGTCACCGTCGACAGCCTCAAGGAGAAGCGTAAGGAGATTGAGGATCAGATCAAAACCCTCCGCGAGCCCATGGGCGACCTCAAGAAGAAAAAGAAGGACGCATACGACCAAATCTCCTTGTACAAGAAGAAGAAGGCCAAGGCGCAGCTTGATAAGAACTCGTTCTGCGCCATCAAGCGCTCCGAGGTAAATCGTTTTATCAAGATGATCTTGAACTTCATGTTGATCACTTCGTAGTTCTCAAGGGACGTGCTAAAGCAAGACTTCCGTCTCGGTCTCAAAGAGCTCGATGGTAAGTGACGGTAGAGCGTTTTTTCCGATTGAGGCGCTGATACTTCTCAGACGCTGCTGCAGAGGCACGCGACCCCGAGAACTTCGATCCAACGGTGAACGTGCGCAACTACGACGCTATTGACCTCCCCGTCTTCACCTGCTCCTCGCGCGACTATGTCCGTCTCAAGGGCCAGGTCAAGGGCGACGGCGAGCCTTCCACCTTCACCAAGATTGAAGATACCGGCATCCCGAAGCTGCAGAACTGGTGCCACGAGCTTACGCTCTCATCCCGCGATCGCGCCGCGCGCACCTTCCTCACGAACCTGAAGACGTTTGCCAACTCAGTCCGGCAGTACCTCGACAACACTGCACAGATAACTGAGCTTGACCGCGCTACACTCAAGGAAAAATGGGAGTCTGGCGCCACGCATGACCCTGAGGATGACCCATGGGGCCTCACGTACGGCGCATACGACGATGAGGACGACGGGTACTCCGACGACGGCTATGGCGCTCTGGGCGGCTTTGGCCGCAGTGGGATCAATGCAGCACTGGACAGTATCTTGAGCGGCAGCGCCTTGTACACCATGCAGAAGTCTGCGCCGAAAGTCGACGAGTACGGACAGCCCATCGGTATTGTTCCGCGTCTCAAGAAGGTACTGCATTATCATATCTTTCTGTCGACCTGACTGCCTGCTGACTACTTATTACTTATACAGGAGTTCAAGAAGATCATCGACGACACCATCGTGAGCCTCAAGAACGAATTCAAGGCGGGCTTGCAAGAGAAGTGCGAGACTGGTGCTCATCTGGTACGTAGACTTCTGTGCTTGCAACCGTCGATCGTCACTGAAGGCTCTCTTAGGCTGCTGCCGCTGCGATCGAGAAGTCGGATACATTCGCCGCGAGCATGCACTGGGCCACTTACCGGGCAACTCTTCGCCGCCACGGTTCATTCCGCCAGGATCTGAACGTCGAATTGATCTCGCCCATGACGAAGAACATCGCTTCTAGCTGGGCGCAGATCTTCGAGGCCGACCTCTTCGCCGACTTCCAGCAGACCGTCATGGACACTGTCGACCGTCTGACCAAGGACGTCGAGTCGACCGCAGCGCAAGCCCTTCGCGATCGTGTGCGTAATCAAGCCGACCTCTGTCTTGACGAGGCTCGCCTGGCTCTTCAGAACGCTATCGACATTGTGAAGGAGACGCTTAACACCAAGCAAAAGGAAATCTCTCGTCTTCTTGCGCCTCACGTCCAGAACGAGCTCGTGGAGGGCTATGACAGCGCAATGGAGGAGCGTGGCCCCGGTAGCGTCGCTCGCCAGAAGGCCGCCTTCCACCAATACATTGTGGAAGTCAAGGACGATATCTTCAGCGGCGGTGCAGGTGAAGTCTTGAGCGAGTTGGACAAGGCTGCCGAGGCTGTCGGCGACGCCTTGCGAGACCGCCTGACGCAGCTCGCGCAGAAGGTCGAGGTCAGCATTGCTACGCTGTGGGAGGGTGTGAACGACGACCCCTCCCAACGTACAGTCCGTGAAGAGGTCATCACAACCATGTCCGAGGTCATCGGCCAAATTGACCTCTGGGGGGTCGCCCGCGAGACTCGTAACCGTATCGCTGAAGAAGCCGCTGCCGCCCAAGCTGCCAATGACGAGATGAACATTGATTAGATTCGTTTGCAATATCCATCCCTGTATATTTTTTGATAGTCCGTGTTCAGCAGACGCTAGATTCGTCTGATAGTTACAGCTTCATACTGCTCCTCTATTACTCCGTTGCCTCCTGTTCCGCTGCCCCGTTCCACTGCCTGCTGCTGCTTCCATGTCGTTCTCGGACATTACCACTAGCCTTGTATGCGTAGACCTGCCATAGTTCTTAGATCCGACCATGTCGTCGTATTGCTAGGTATTCTACAGCTTGTATGTATATCATCGATTTGTTGACTTGACATCCACATGCGCCCATAGTTCTGGAATGTTCCGCTCTCAACGCTTGAGACCGTGATTATCAATCCAGGGCCTTCGGTCTTTCTCCCATGCCCGGATCTAGCCTCCCAGGCGCCGTTCGGGGAGCGCTACGCAAGCCGAGGCCACTAAGGCGACGACCACCATCTTAAACGTACCTTCAAGACTCACGAACAGCTTATACGCGCCGCCAGGACCTTCAAACCGATAGAATGCCCAAGGTAACCACCACCCCAACCATCGAGAGGGCGCGTGCGGAGAGTGGTCCCTTATCCGCTGCAGCGAAGGCGAAGACCCTGCGTGTAAGCTCTCCTGCTTAGTCCGCTCCTCGATAAGATGATACTGACCCACTTATCTGCAGCGCAACCATGTAAGTCCCTTGTCCAGGCATACCATCGAGTTGTCAACTGATAACGTGGACTTATAGGCCTGCCACCAATGTCGAAAGTGAGGCTTTACTACCTACCATGACGCAGCTACTGACGATGGTTTCGCGAACTCAGACGGAAGATGGTAAGGGCACTGTGATCTGGCAGTCTGTGGACTATATTCATACTGATGTTCCCTAGAAATGGTTCGTTGTGTGCTTCTCGGGGCGTGCGTATATGTATACGCTGAACTGTGCATAGCGACGCGAGACGGCCGATCTGTGCTACATGCGAGCGGTCTCATAAGCACTTGCAAGCTCACCCGCCTCCTGGGATCGACATACCCGACGAAGTTGACTGTACCTGGGATGAACGTGGGTGTTTCCTATCGTTTCGGAACTACAATGTTAAGTGCAAATACTAGTCCCTGATCCCATGGATTCTCCGAAACATAAGATCGCCTTTCTTGAGAGCCGAGTCCGTACGTGTCATTGCAGAATCTTTGTACGGCCATCGCTGACAGTCCTCGCTCTATAGAGGAGCTCGAGGCGATACTCTCGGGCAAGGACGCAGGCTTTCTTTCCTCTGAGAGTCCATTGGAGGAGGATAAGATGCATAGTCCTGGCGAGGATTCTGCGACGACTCTGGTCTCTGAACCTGGCGACGTTGCAATGGGCGACGCAGATCTCACAAATGATGGGTCGGATGATATACCTGTGATCGATCTTGACCTCGGTAAAGGCGTCTATTGGACGACTTGGCCATCCGAGCTTCCAGAACCCGAAACCGTTGAGCCACTGTGAGTTCACGTTCGGTGCGGTCGAGACGTGTGTGACTAACGCGACTCCGTGCTAGAGTAGAGGCTTTCTTCCGCTTCTACCCCCATGCGGATAGGCTCTTTCACAGGAGCACCTTCATGTACTGGTTATCACTCCCCCCGACCCACGATAACTTCCCATCCCCAGCTGTGTTGCATGCGATCTGCGGCGTGGGCATAATGTATGCTCAGCAGCCCGGCCTCACGCCGGCACCTTTCGGTATGCTCCGTCCCTTGGCTAACCCGTTCTGTTGCTGATTTGAGATTGTTCAGTTTCAAATCTGGTACATGCTGACTCTGAGAAGCACGTAGAGCTTGCGAAGAGTCTCGCGGAGAAGGGCATCTTGCGTGGTACTCAGCTAGTGCAGAATCAGCAGGGTATGTCTGTCCTTACCGACCGAACATCACCATCAAGCTGACTTTCTATCAGCCCTTGTCATTGTTGGATGGTGGTACTGGTGCCATGCGAAATGGATCGAAGTGTACATGTTGTCTGCCCAGGTTCTTCGTGCCTGCCCGCCATTGGATCTGAGCCGGGCCCCAATGTTTCAGCCTCTCACAAATGGGACCATGGTCCCCTCACTTCTTGCAGCACCTATCGATGCGCAAGAGGAGGAGACGCGTCGGAATGTGTTTTGGCTCGCTTACGCCCTCGAACGTCTCAGCGGGTGCGGTAATGGATGGCCCTTGAGCCTCGACGACAAGGATGTCACTCAACTTCTGCCAGTTGATGCGATGAGCTTTGCACTTGGAGTATGTTCGCCCTTACAACTCTGTCCTCGATACTTCGCTCACTTACTATGAATTAGATGTCCTGGCCAGAACTTCAAGAACGGGATCACCCTTTCAAGAAGGACGTTATTCTCACGCACAACGCTGAGCATATTCACCCTTTCGCACTATTCGTCAAGGGCTGCTTATTGCTCTCGCGCGTCAAGTCTTACAATATGCGCTTCGAACATCTGAAGTTTGCGGGCGAACCGTCACTGGAGCTAGCTGATACTACTCTCCAACATTGGTCATGCTTGCAGCCGAGTATAAGACCTGGGTATGACCCCGATCGTGATCCTCGTCGGAATGATGCGTTCGTTGAACTTGATCAAATGGCCTTCAAGTTCATTCCGTCCTTCCCAGCACATCTTCAATCGCCGTTTATGGAAGGGGCCATCGACGTGCACTTGTATCTGTCCCACCTCATACCTTACGTGTACGTGCACTATCCTCAGATAGTAGGCTGGCATGCTGTAGCTGACATAATTGCAGCGCATTGATTCAGTTACATGACCCACATGCACACATCACATCTATGTCATGTCTCTCCAGTCAACGCTTGCTCAATTCCTCTCGCGCTATTCTGAAGCTGCTCTGCGACGCACAATCTGTTGCAGGATTCGAGACCGTGCTTCTTGATTGTTTTATCTTCGTGAGTAGTATGCAAGTGAACGCATGGACTGGTACTGAATGATCCTAGTTCTGTTGGTTCATGGCTGGGAGGACACTCACACGCTTCTGGCATGTGGCTCTGCAAGTTAAGTCCGAAGAGCAGATGGGTGTTTTCAAGGCTGAGGTTCAGCACATTGCGTGAGTTCACTGTCTCTTACGCTCTTACCCAACTCACATGAACATTTGGTGTTCAAGGGCGGCGCTCCAGGCATCTGGTTCTCGTGTTCCATTGGCCGGTACGCTCTCGTTGCATAGTCCATGTGCGCACTCTCTGACAGAATCCTAGGGCGATATGCTATCATGCTCCGGGACCACTTCGAGCGCATGAGTGGGCAGGTTCTTCAATTATAGTGCCCGAGATGCCCATATTTGCAATGTGCTATGCGTCATCCCCCTTTCTCCCTCTGTACATTACCCGCCAGCCTAGTCTACCCATATTATGGCCCGCTCAGCCCCGCTTACGTGATGTTCTTCAAGGATCCTCATTTAAGTACTAGCTGTGACCCGTGCGCTGCACGGGGCCCGATCCTACTAGTCACTATGTGCTTTCCAAGCCCATGCTATGTGGATATTAGGAACACTCCTATTACGTTTGTCCTGTTCGAGATACGAATGCTGCTATCATCGCCCGTTCGCCTCGGGCTCGCTGTGCTCGCCCTCGGTTCACGCGCGGGGGATCCTGATTCAGGTCAATGAACCCAGGGCCATGTCCCGACTGTAAACCGTCACTGGCCTCTCTGTGGCGAGCGCGCATGAAGCCTCATAAAGCTTTGAAGCCCGAAGACTCCTGGATCCAGTTACTCGCCTCGCTGTTAGCCACCGCGAGGAGACGGAGGACGCCCAGGTCGACGACGCGTCGGCGGTTCGAACCCGCGCCATGCTCAGCCACGTGTCGCGACGCCGTCTGTCGTCTCAGCCAATCAGAAGGCCGATTGTGGTCGGACACCCAGCTTCTTTATTATATAGGATTCTTGCTCACTCGCCCGACTTCAAGCATCATGTCAAAGAGTATACATCATCATTTCAGTACAAACTGCCCAATTCGTAAAACATCTAGAGAAGAGCGCACAGCCCAAGTGAGACTAGCAATACAATACAACGCTTAGTTGGTCGTCGCGGTGGTGTACGGCGTCGTGGCGATACCGAAGCGGCTGTTGGTGGTGTCGTAAACGGTGTAGAAGCGCTCAAGGAAGGTGTAGCCGTTGATGAAGTCGAGACCCTCGCCAGAGTTCGTACCGATGTCTGCCACGACAAGGTAGTACTTGCCGGAGCTGCCGCCGATGTCGGAGTTGAGCGAACGCGGCCAGAGCTGCGCGTTGGCAGTCAACTCGAACTTGGTCTAGAAGAGGAACATATGCATCAGTGAAGATGCTCTGAGTTCAGAAGAGGTGTACGCACGCCACCGATGGTAAAGTAGAGGCTCTTCAGCGCGGCGTACTGCGTCGCCGTGACGGTAAGCAGGCCCGTCGAGCTGTCGAGCTTGGCACCGGTGGCCGAAACGTACTTGTTGTACGCGTCGGTGGCGATGTAGATGAGCGTGGTACCAGTGTCAACAATACCGGCGTTATTGGAAAGGATCGAGGTGCTCGTGCCGTAGGTGATGGTTTGGTCAATGCCCCAGTAGTAGCTGGCAGGCGACGTGCTCGTCGTGGCACTGAGGAAAGCATACCGTCAGATTGAGGCACGTAAATCTGTAAATGAAATGAACGCACGTGTAGGTAATGCTGCCTGAGTACTTCGACGAGTCGACGCCGCCGAAGGTGAGCTCGCCGTTCTCAACCGACGAGGTGGTGGTGGGCTCGAAAGAGACCGCGACGGAGTCGACGGGGATGGTGCCCTGCGAGTAGAGATTGTCGGTGAAGGTCGGGACCGAAGAGACACCAGAGACGGTGCCCTCAGTGAGGTCGGTGGGACCAATACCGAGGATGCCGTCGTAGGGCGAGAAGCCGGTCGAGCGGGAGGCGACGCCGATGGACTGCTTGGTGACGGTGAGCGAGCCAAGGGTGACAGTGTCGGTGTACTCCGTGCCGCTGAAGGAACCAGAGCCGTAGCTGACGGACTGGAATGCAGTGTCAATCTCCAGAGCATGCACCAAGGAAGCAATGATGCGTACCACCGACTTGCCAGTGTTCGTGCTGGTGCTGCCAGCCTTGTACTTGGTCACAGCGCCGACCCAGGTGTTCGAGCTACGCTATCATCAGAAGAGGCAAGGAACACATCGCGGGATCTACATACCTTCCGGTGTCGACGATAACGTCGAAGGTCTGAGTGCCAACCTCAAGAGCGGCAGTGTAGATGACAGCCTGGTTGGTGACCGGGGCGCTGCCAACGCTAGCGAGAGCGCCGTTGCTCGACTTGCCGCGGGAGATGAGGTGCTCGACGCGCGCACGGTCGGTCGCAGCAAAGTTCGTGCCGTTGAAGTGCTTCGAGAGCGGAAGCTTCACGACTGGCTCGTCAATCGTCACGATGGGCGACGCTGCCGCAGCGATGACGAGAGCGAGGAACGCGGTAAGGCGAGCGGTCGGGAACATCGTGTCGAAGACGAGGAGTGCTGCGAGGGGATGCGGGCACGGCTTGGTTTGAATCTACAGTGCGATGCTTTTATACAGCAATGAGGAGCTCATAACGAGCATTCAGGATGTGTACAGGGACTGGAAGGTTCGTCAGGACTCGCAACGCTCACGCAAGGGATCGCGGTCGTCACTAACCTCGCGGTCGCACTGGCGAGTATGCGGGCATAAAGCGCACAATATGGCGCTGGATCCGAAGCGACTGAGATACGACATTCATCCTTCTTGCAGGGACCTGCCGGAGCCGCACGAATAGATGTTCGAGATCAGCCTGCAGAATGGGGAAACGATATGCAGCGAGCGGAACCTTGACCGAATCAGACGACCGGAAGCCTAATTGCGAAGCCATATGCGTACCGGCTCGTCCATCGAAGCAGAGATGGCGTATACGACACATGCTCAAAAAGTTGATAGCGCATCGGCGGTTTTACCACGAGGTTAAGGCGCAAGCTTCCTGCCCTTGGACAAAGGAACGCCATCCGGCACGCCACAGAAGCACAACAGCGCTATGAATATGCTGTGCGTGAGTACCAGCTCGAACCACACTTATCCTTGACAGAAAAGTAAAATAGACAGGAACCAGAACACGACTGCCTTCGAACAGCACAAGGTCGGACAGAGAAGTTTCCCATGATGGACTCGGCATTCATGGTCGCATAACGGTGCCGAATGGCGCATTGCTCAGCAGCACGTCTTCAACGACTACTAGGCAAGAGTCTACCATAGAGGACGTCGAGTAGCGAGTGCTTCTGAGTGCCGATGATGGTGGCAGGACCAGAGTCACGATCAGCGCTATGCGTGCTTGTCCAATGGTCTCGGCGCCTCCCGGGCGGGGTTCAATCGGTATTGCTAGTTCAGGGAACTGTACGGTAGTCTCCTAGCCGTTGTAAACACGGCCTTCCGACTTAAGCGTCTTCACCACAGTGCGACGACCATAAGCTTTGAGATCGATTTGAGATCGAGTCTGCTCTCCTTGATGAGCGGGCCGATTGGGCCAGCCCGGCCTCAGACTCGCCGGGTCTGCGCTTCAGATGCAGGATTCGTATCACGATCAATGCGCGTCCACGTCTGCATTCCTACGCAAAGCAGCGCCAGGCCCCGGTACTGTGCCTCTCTCTTCCAACATCTCTGTCTATCTACGGTGTCAACCAGTCGAGCGCGTCGAGACCGGCGTCTGTATAGCACGGAAGGACGCAGATCCACGGGCTGGATCAGGTCGCTGCGCAGTATCGGTAGATGTAGTCCAGCTGTGGAACGCTGTACTGCTATCGCGGCATCTTCACATTGAGTGCGAGCATGGTGCACGGGTTCCGTCAGAGATACGTCTCGGAGAACAAGGTTCGCTTGTAACATAAGGCCCCGTCAGAGGACGATGAACGAGTGTATTCGGCAATGGGAACGTGTTACTAGCAGGACACATAAGTTCCTTGAAGTCCATGGTCTATGATATATGATTGAAAACTTTACGCCGCGAGTGCAAAGAGAGCAGCAATAAACGGCGCCGCAACGCCGGCGGAGACGGTCATAGCAGAGCTGGCGGTCGAGGACGACGATGCGGCACTATAGTACGTGCGGGCATCAGATCCGGCGATCGAATGAGGAAAGATGATGATACGCACGATGAAGAAGAGGACGCGGTGCTCGAAGACGAATTTGAGGTAGTGGTCGCAGAAGAGCCTGAAGCGGTCGAGGAAGATGAAGAGTCGGCAGTGGCGGATGTGCTTCCGGAAAGGCACGACGTAGACGAGGAAGACGAGATGGTGAATTCTCCGGTTATACCCGTGTTACCTGCAATCTGTCAGGCATACACCTTCTGTGAGAGTCATAGAAGTAACGTACCGTCAGTGTCGACAACGGTGATGATGAACGTGTCGCCCGAAGCCTCGTTGACGGTCCACTGGTACGGCGACGAGGTGACGTCGGAAGCAATCTCCTCGACAAAGGTCTGCGAGTCGTCAAGAAGACGGATCTCGTAGGGTGCGGTACCGCCGGTCCAGGTGACCTGGTAAACCTCGCACTGAATGGCAGCGGTTGCGCCGGTTGGCGTGTTAACCTTCATATCGCGTTAGAGCCTGTGAGACTTCCTTCTGCCGTAGAATCGCACCGTGATAGTGGAGTTGGTATCGGCGAGCACACCGAGAGCGAGAGCCGAGACGGTAGCGAGGGTAGCAGCGAACTTCATAGCTAGCTCAAGGAGAGGGAAGGGCGTTTGGGACGATGAAGAAAATTAGACGGAGTAAGCCAGTTTAAAGGCTAAAGTACGGCGGGAGCTGAGGATCCTAGCTGCGCACCAGCACAGGTATTTATATTCCGCAAAGAGCTTACATTCAATTGCGCAGCTCGAGGTGCAGGTCGTAAATAGAATCCATAGCGGGATCGAATGCGGATGCGCCGTCTGAAAAGCATGTCAACCTCCGATTCGTTAGCTGAGGTCAGAGAAAGATATTCTGATGATAGTGCACGAGAATGCTTTCACTGGCATACCGACTGTAAGATGTTGTCTGGCTGCAGGCTGAGGGCGCCACCGATACGAATGCCTGGAGAGCGGAACAAACTCCGGGCGTACTGCGGCGCACCCGGATATCGTGGGAAACTCGAGCCTTGACTGCGCGCCCGAGCAGCTCGCGCGAAGACGACGTCCATCCCGTACTGGTAGAGACCGAGAGCGGCGGCGGCATACGGGCACAGCGTCATGTCACACCATCTCTTTGTGCTGTCCCCGTCCGACACGCCGTTGTACAGCCTCACGCATCTATCGTCAAAGCCTGCTGCGTCGGCGCCCGCGCCTCTGTCAGCGAATCTGCCGTCGTGGTCGACGAGCGCATTCGCGGGGACGCTGACGGCACTCTCAGGCGCTTCGAGCGTCGCTCAGACGAATGCTGCTGGCGGCGGCGTGCGCATGGGAGGAGGGCAGGACCGCCATGTCATCCAGATGATTGCGAATGCTAGCCTAGACATGATCGAGGACGCTGTGAAGCGGGAGACTGGAATGTCAGTCCGTTTCACGGTCGCGACTACGTCAGAATATTTTTGTCTGAATTAAGACGTAATCGCGTAGGTATCTCAAGGCGGTCGACAAGTTCAACGAGTGGACCGTGTCTGCGTTTGTGACGCCTGGCAGTGAGTGGCTGAGCGTGTATGGGAATGCAGTGCTTGATCCGGGCGGCTATAGACGTGAAGTTCGTGTTGCTACACGAAGGGAAGAACGACGACGGCATCCGATTGTTCTTCGTAGAGCTGTGGGAGTTGTACTTGAAGGTATACGTGGCCCGTCGTTCGTTGACACCCGGACATGATCCTCATCCGGTTCATCACAGACAATGCTCAACCCGTTCCACACGGCGAGCACCCAGATACGGAGCAGCGTGTTCGATAGCAGGGTCCGGGCGAGCGCGAAGAAGTTCCTATAAAGACTAGCAAGCAGGCTTGTACAGATTGTAGTTTATATATCATGTTCTATTGTCGCAACACGGAGTGATGTGAGCGGTTATTGTGGGGGGCGCCTGGCGTGTGAATGATTGGTAGTCACTTGAGACGGGCGAGTTGTCCGAGAAACAACTCAGCCTCCTACCCCCGTCTCTCATCCTCCTCTTTCCGTCCGGCCGTTTCTTTGTGCTCTCTTTTCTCTTTAGCGCGTGCGAGGAACGCAAGTGTCCTTGTAGTAGCCTGAACATCTCTTTGTCTCCTTTCTAAACACTCTCCCACCCGGCCTCCCCCACTCCACCACCCCACCGACTATCGATTGAGAGCGATCAGGGCAGAAGTGCCAGCACAATAACGAGCAATCCAGCTCCTGAACGTCCGTCTCCCCAAGTACGGATTTATTTCTCCCGAATATAATCGTATTCGGTTCTCATCCCCGTCGCCCAGCTGTATTTCGCTCCGCCTTCTCGTCTCGAATTTTTATCTTCCGCTCCCCGTAATCTGTCCGCCTCAGCATCTATTATGGCCGCCACCGCACCGAACCAGCGCGCTTCTCTCCTCTCCGGTCTCCGCACCGGCGGCGTCCGCTCTACTTCAGTCAATGTGCCACACACGGCCGCCCCTGGCGCAACCTTCAACGTTCCTCGCTTCGCTTCGGCGTCTTACAACAACAACAACAACATCTACGACGATGAGGAGGACGAGCTGGCCGATATGGTCGCTCAGAAGATGTACATGAACAACGGCCCGCCTCGCATGCAGGCTCCACCCCTGACCGCCGCTGTCGATGGCTCCCACAACCGGTTCTCCCAGCAGCAGATGCGCGGCGGGCAATACGGCGGGATGAACGCTATGCAGGCCCAGATGCAGGCCCAACAGCAGCAACAGCAGGCGCTACAGATGCAGATGATGCAGCTCGAGATGCTGCGCCTCCAGGCACGTGCTTTTCCTATTTTGTCTTCTATGGCCGAGGACTGATGTCGAACTGCCGAGAACAGGCTCTCCAGGCGCAGCAGTACCAGGCCGAGCTCCTCCAGGCCCAAATTCAGCAGCAGCAGCAGCAGCAGCAGGCTCGTAGCTACAACCCGCCCGCGACTGCTGGCCCCATTGCCACATCTTTCGGCTCGTCTCAGCTTCGTCGTCCAAGCCAGGCCGATAACCTTCGTCACCAGCTTGGCCTCGCCCATGAGGAGCAGGTACCTCAAACTGCCGCACTCAACGGCAAGTTCGGTGGTCGTCTTCACATCGACAGCGACTTCCCTGGTTCCCGCAACGGATACAACCAGCAGGCCTCCACTCCGATGACCCCGACGTCGTACGCGAGCACCAACGTGATCTCGGGTGGGACATCCCTCGGCCACGCATCAGCCAACAACAACAGCACCAGCACGCCACCTTCCAAGTCAGACAGTGCGACCTCGTGGCGCCGTGCTTCGAACAACCACTCCGTCCTGCGTCGCTCGCCTCCTCCCGCAATGCCGGACGTCAAAGTCACGCCGCCGCCCATCGACACAGATGCGCCGCGTCCGAGCGGTCCGCAGAGTGCCCTATCGCCCTCTTCGGCCACGCCGACCGCCCGCAGCCGCCCCACGCCGCTGCGCTTCACTCCCGCCGTTCCGCTTGCGGCAACCGTGGCAGTTTCTTCCGACGAGGGTGGCGATAGCGAGGATGCTGCTTCCGACGCTTCCTCGAACAAGTCGGGTGGGAGCCCGCTCGACGGTAGCTCGCCGGCGACGCCGCAGTCGACCGGCTCCTTTGCGCCGCCGCTTTCGCCGCGCGAAGCGGCGACACAGAAGCTGTACGAGGGTCTCGGCCTCGGCCGGCCCGAGAAAGTCCCGCAGACGCCTGCTGCTGCCGTACGTGTCGTCTCGAGCGTGCTCGTGCGCCAGCCGCGCGGACCGCCGAGTGGTGCGGACGAGCTCGGTCCTCGCAACTTCGCCCAGCGTATCCGCAAGAGCGCGATTGGCGGACTCGGTGCGCTCCTCGAGAGCCGCTCGCGTTCGACGACGCCCACACCCGTTGAGGTGTACTAAGCGCCCGTCGATCAGATAATCGCGACAATTGAGTTTCTCTCGGGTCGAGCGCGCGCTCCGTCACCCGCAAAGCACGGATTATGAGTCTGGTTGTGTCTGGCTATTTATGCTTCACGGACAGCACTGCGCGCATTTCTGTTCTTGATTGTACTTTCCCCTTCACCTCGCGCCGCACGTCGAAACCTGCCGTGCGAGTTGGGCCTTTTCCCTTACCTACTCTTTCACCTTTCTTCAGCCAGCCTGTCGTCCTGTCCTGCGGGCCCCAGTGGCGCCTGCGATCCCCTCCTTCAGAGCTCTTTTCTCTCTAGCTTTCTTTTCCCTTTTCATCTTCCCTCGCGACTCTTTGTGCGCCGCCTGTCGGTGGTCGCCTTGTATTTTATCACAATGGCCCAGGGCCACCCGCCATGCATATGCACAGCACCCTCTCCTTCCTACCTCTACGCTTCCACTAGGTCCAATACAGGCCGCAAATATTTGTCTATACGATGATTTCTCCTTGGACTCCATACTCTGTATAGACTCTTTTCAACGCCATCTTTCCCCGTGATACTCCGAGCAGAACGATTGTCGTGTCTTTGGTAGGTCAGAGTTCGTATTCGAAGGCTGATGGGACCGTGCTGAACCTGAGGATGGGGCGAACGAGCAATCTCAGGGTTGAGTGCAGTATCTGCTCTGTAGTCGTGGACACCGACGAGCGCGAATCTCTCAAGGATGCCCCGCCGATGGTCTTGGTCGCAACGATCCGTCAAGCCGCTTGCGTATTTAGCCATGCTACATTCTGTTCGACCGTTGGACGCCTTCCATCTACGTATCGGTAGAACGCTTGGGCGGGTAGCCATACGGACATGATCAGTGCCGTGCGGCTCCTCTCTCGCTACTGCGATCGCGTACAATAAGCGCTTCACATGTCCAGCTGGATAAGGCGCGGTACCGCTTCAGAGACTGCCCTATGCGGTCTTGTGTCCTTGACGGAGCGTTGACGTTGAATGCTGGACTTTTACAAACGGAAGCCTTTCTAGCTATGATGAATCGTCTTGCCGTGACCATGCCATTATCCAGATCGGATTGGTTACGATCTTGCGCATCTTCGGCTTTGGCGGCGGTCACTGGTGAGCGATACGTGCTTCCCCAACACCCATCTCATTGGAAATGCCCGTTGCTCACATTATGATATAAACCTTCCAGATGCGTCCCGCGTACATGCCTTGCGTACGCTTGCCCTCCCGAGATACTTCGACTCACCGTGGCTACAAGAAGTCGCCGTGCTTGCGAAGACCCGAAGTCTTTGAAACCCATTCACCGTTCATCGGTGAACCCGGTCATTCCACCTTTCCATCTGCCGAGAGTGATCGGCCAGTCGGTACGGTCATCTCATACACACACCAAGCGGTGGCTCTTGAATAGATACTCAATAGGATCTAGCTCAGTACGAACTAAGCAATGACATCGCACCCGCCGAGTACCTCGAGTTGTGGCGATAGCCTTGGAATTTCTTCTTCCGATCCTGCGTGCCTCAACTTCGAGCTCCATCTCGGTCCCGGCCCAGCCACTTTTACCGGCAAGTTCTATACTGCGCACAGGACGTCGATCGCAAGCGTAGTAGACACGCATACCTCTCGTTCCAAGTCAAGCACTGCACATGCTTCGACTCCTGCACATGCTTCGACCCCTGCACTACCTTCCACCATCGCACATTCTTCCACCACTGCACATACTTCCACCATTGCACCTACTTCAACCACCAATGACACCTCCACCACCTCACACCGCTTCCAGCGCTCTATCTCAACGTCAATCGGAACTTCCACGACGGCAAGTCTGACCTTGCATTCCTCATCGGCTGTGGTCACATCGTCTGCAACACGCGGCGGCACGGATGCTGGAGTTAAGGGTGGCGCCGCAGCCGGCGTCGTAGCGCTTGTGTTGATGCTGTTCGCCGCTGTCGTATTGTTGCGACAGCGACGACGAGGACGTTGCGCCAGGCTCGCAGTCTTGAACAGCATGTCCATCGTGAACGACATCGCGCAATACCCATACTCAGCAGCTCCACAAGCCTCGCTCAGTGGAAGGAGGGACAAGGGAGGGACACAGGCGCGGGAAGCGGATAGCGGCGAGATGCACATTCCGGAGACGGCAAGAATACAGGCTGGTTCCCCTCCGCTTGACGTCGCGGAGGCGCGCACGATGTTACGACGATTGGAGCGTTTCATGCGCTCTGCTGATGGCGACGTTGGCGGTGAGCCGCGCGCGGCAACTCCATTCGATGGTAGAGACTCTGCTACCTTGCCACCGTATGATCCTTGAGGGCTTCGGGCGTTGGATCGGTCAGGCGTTACATATGGCTGCTCATACTATACCCTCCCGATCTGACATAACATAGATGGTAGCACCGCAAGGATACCGCAAGATCCGAGTACTCATCTGAGTACAGCAAACGTTCTTGATTCGCAACTGCAGTTGATTTTCCGCACGCAAGTATATTGGACAACAAGAAGTACAAACAAGCAATCGAGACAGATTGTAGGACCGGACGCTTCATTTGCAGCGTTGTCCAACGATGGCTTTCCCATGCTCCTGCCATTCTTCGCGGCTGATCCAGAGCTGGTGGAATGTGCCGAGGCTGGCGAGAATAGAGCCGCCCAGCCACGCACCGTACTTGCGCTCGATGGTGTTGCCCGGCGCATGGATCTTGATAGAGACCTAGAAGATAGCATGTCAATAGAGGTACACTAGCATAGCGGAAAGGGCGTACATTGGGCATCTGCCTCTGCAGCTCGCTCTGCAACCTCTCACTCAGCCCCGCGAACAAGCTCCCTCCACCCGTCAACACGATATTCCCAAGCAACACCCCCCTCATATCAACGTCCAGCGCATTCAGGCTCTTGCTCAACAACTGTGGCAACGAAAGGGGCAGACCCGGGTTAGACCCTTGAACCTCCCTGCTCGCGCCCATCCACATCTCCCCGACCTGGAAGCGGTCCTTGCCGAAGTAGGCGTTGAAGCCCGTTGGGAACTCGTACTGCTTCATAGGGCGGGATGTGGCGAGCTGGTCGTTCCAGCCTTGGTCGAGTACACCCGCTACGGACTGAATCCATTCTTCTACTTCACGCTCTTCGTAGTATTTGAGGAGCGAGGGCGTTGTTTGGGGTGCGCGGTCTTGCCTGACTTGGAACATGGCCGGGGAGGAAGGGGCTACGGGCTGTGAGATTCATTAGTACGGATACCATACGAGGATGTGAGGAATGACTGACCGTCTTTCCGGCGATCAATTGGTGGGGAAGGAGTTGAATTGGCGGATGGTTTTGCTGTTGGTTCACGAGCTGGTTTCGGGCGCTTGCGTGGACAAGTTGGGGTAGCGATGAGTGTACGAGGCCTTTTCGTAGTACAAAGCCATCGACCACGGGCGTTACACTCGCGGTCGACTTGCCAATGTCGATAACCAAAGCAGAGCCCTTGCCCGCGGCGAACCTGGCGGTCCGTGATCGGTGTGGCAAAGTACAAGGACTAGAGTTGGGGTACATACGCGTTCAAGACAGCGGTATTGGCAATGTAGAATGCAGGGACGTTGAATTCCTCGAACATGATCTCAGCCATGCGTTCCCTGTTTTCAGGCGTATTCCATGCGGGTTCGGTGACAAGTACAGGATGCTCGGTAGCATCAACATGCATCACATCTTGCAGTGCATGTCGGACGAGGGCGGGTATAGGTTTGAAGTCGGCGACTATTCAAAATGAGAAAGTGACCAAAATACAATAAAGTAAACGGGCGTACTCATTCCCTCCTGAATAGGATTTCCGACCTGCATATTCGCGCGCCAGATAGAAGGACCATGCTGTCCTATAAACATTTTTGACGAAGACGCGGCTCCACCATTGCCGTCGTCCATAACCGCATCACCATCTCCGGATTCGTTGATGAAGCCGTAGCTCGCGTTGACGACCGCTTTGGGAGTATCGTCGCCCGCATATCCCGCGCGCACGCTCGAAGCGCCAATGTCCACCACCAGCGCCGCAACTTCGTCTGACATATTATCAGTCACGTGAAATTCATAGCCCATGATATGGGTGCCAGCATACCACCACCGTATTGCACCATTATATAGTCGTGAGAGTGTCCGGGACCGAGATGGAGGAGGAGAACATGTCGCGCGTTCGAACCGAGACGCGTCCTGACGCGCGCGTGGGAATCCTCCGCCCTGCTCTAATTTCCGAAACTTTTGCCTCCTCATTTACGGTCCACTCTCCTCACTGCTTTCACTATGCCTGCTGCTGTGTTGAAACCGAACAAAAAGCGGAAACAGGCCTCCGCCGATGAGCCTGTTGTACCTGCTGCACCTGAGTTGCTGCCCGAGGGAGGGTTGGAGATGTTGAGCGAGGACGAAGGAGAGGGCGAGGCAGACGCGGAGGACGAGGATGAGGACGCGGTGGACGCGTTTCCTGAACTCGATGCCGCGTCAGACAGCGACGAGGATGAAGATGAGGTGGACGAGCCGGACGTGAGCGACGAGGGCGAAAGTTCGGACGCTTCAGACGATTCGCTGCATATTTTCCCGAAAGCGAAGACTGTTATATCGGATATCACTGGCGAACCAAAGAAAGTCTACCCTGAGATCGAACCGGACTATGACTCGGACTCGTCTACCGAAGATGTGCGTATAGACTGTCACATGTACTGTACTCTTTTAATGTGTGTATAGGCACCCAACCGCGTCGGCAATATACCAATGCACTGGTATGACGACCTCCCTCATGTCGGCTACGATATTAATGGCAAGAAAGTCCTCAAACCCGCGCGCGGTGACGAGCTTGACAAGTTCCTCCAGACTGTTGACGACCCGTCTGCGTGGTACGTCTCCCTGTACCCTACGATGGAGCCCAGAAGCTGAGTATATGCGCAGGACTTCGGCGTTTGACAAGAACACGCAAATGGACAAACCTCTGACTGCCGAGGAACTGGACATCATCCGTCGTCTGGAACGTCATGAGAACCCAGACGCGGAATATAATCCTTACGAGCCTACCATCGAGTGGTTTACTGGGAAGGGCAAGGAAGAGGTTATGCCGCTCTCTGCCGCACCAGAACCTAAACGTCGTTGGATTCCTAGTAAATGGGAGAAGCAAAAGGTACATAACACCATAACTATCTGCTAAGCTTGTGTTGATAATCTCTTGCAGGTCATGAAGATCGTTCGCGCCATCCGTCAAGGTCGTATCGTACCCAACAAACCCAAATCGACTGAACCACAGTTCTACTCAATATGGACTGATGAAGCTTCCAACACCATCCCGCCCATGCCCGCACCTAAACCCCGCCTCCCAACACACGCCGAATCCTACAATCCTCCACCCGAATATCTCCCCACGGACCAAGAGCGCAAAGAATGGGAAGAGACAGAGCCGGAGGACCGCGAACGCGACTTCTTGCCGCAAAAGTACTCTGCATTGCGTCTGGTACCGGCATACGATAGGTTCATCCAGGAGAGATTCGGGAGGCAGTTGGATCTGTATCTGGCGCCGCGTATCCAGAGGACGAAGCTTACTACCGACCCGTCTTCGCTCATACCGAAGCTGCCCAGTCCAGCGAGCTTGCGACCTTTCCCTACGCATCGTGCACTGCGGTTCCTACACACAAGCGCGAACTCCCGGGTGCGATGTGTCTCCGTATCACCCGACGGCAACTGGGTAGCCAGCGCAGACGAGTCGGGCGTGATCAGCCTTTGGGAGACAATCGTTGGGCGCGAGGTCAAGCGATGGACTCTGAAGGAGAAAGTTGGCGCGTTGGACTGGTGTCCGCGGTCGGACGTGACGTTCATCGTCGCGGCCACAGACGAGAAGTTGCACTTCCTGATGCCGCCCAACCTTCCCGCATCTGTACGCGCTACGACGCTCGACGTCTTAGCGCCAGCCACGCTCCCTCCTCCCCCAGCCGTTGCGAGCCCTGTAAAGTGGACGAACCCCTCCGACGCGACGGATACAGACGGCGCAGTGCTGACCGTCCTCCTCCCTGCCGGCACAGGAACGCCCAAGAACCTCTCCTGGCATCGCAAGGGCGACTACCTCTCGACTGTCTCCGCCTCGGGCGAAGGTCAGGGCGGCGTATGGATCCACCAGCTCTCGCGCCGCCACTCCCAAGCGCCCTTCCGCAAAATTAAAGGCTCGGTCCAAGCTACCGCCTTTCACCCTTCGAAGCCGCACTTCTTTGTCGCGACGCAGCGTTATGTGCGAGTGTACAACTTGGCCGAGCAGACGCTGCTGAAGACGCTTATGCCGGGTATACAATGGATCTCATCCCTGGACGTACACCCGAGTGGAGACCATCTTATTGTCGGAGGGTACGATAGGAAACTATGCTGGTTTGACCTCTCCCTCTCCGACAAGCCCTACAAAATCATGCGATACCACTCGCGCGCGATCCGCTCTTTGGCGTTCCACCCGACGTACCCGCTTTTCGCGAGCGCCAGCGACGACGGGAGTGTGCAGATCTTCCATGCGAGGGTGTATGGCGATCTGATGGCGGACCCGTTGATCGTGCCGTTGAAGATTTTGAGAGGGCATGAAGTCAGGGAGGGACTGGGTGTACTTGGGTTGAGGTGGGTGCCGAGGCAGCCTTGGTTAGTCAGTGCGGGTGCGGATGGGAGCGTAGCTGTCTGGGCGCACTAGTTGGCGGGGAGTGTATATTTCACTCTACCTGTTGTTGTAGTTTCTATGCGCACATGTGCATGTACGGCGAAAGACCCGTCCCGCGCGAATGTCAGACCATCCCCTGTATGTGGGACCCATGGGGACCTACATAACCGGACCGGCAGTTGCCGTTTATCGCCAATTCTTACTCGGCTGCTTGCACGTTCGACTTCTTATCTTAGACTCTGACCATCTTGAAACTTGCTGCATCAGGCTCCGCTTGCAAGGATCCTACAGTGTCTGCTTGACTGCTCGTAACAGCTCGTCTACCAGGCAGTTCACCGTTCGTTCACTCAGGCCGCCTTGATCGGAGTTAATCGGCTTTCGCGCCGTTCCTGTACTCGCCTGATAAGATAACACCGTAGTCAAAAGCAGCTACTCCTACAAAGGCCCGAACTCTTCTCGTATCGCGATCTCCAACAATGTCGTCCTCGCTTGCATCAGCGCTCTCCGAGCGGCGGGCTGTCGTGACTCTGGGAATGTTCATCATCGACGAGTTCTCTTATACGGACGCTGAGGGCAATCCTACTGGTCAGACCAGGAAACCGGAGGTATGCTTCCATGTATCATGAATGTTCTGTCAAGCACCTTTCCTCACGTCTCATTCTAGATCGGTGGGGGCGGGACATACGCGGGCATCGGTGCTCGTATCTGGTCAGAACTTTACTCTACAATGTACTGTTCTAGTCCCTAACCCAAGCAACCTGATACTCCATAGGTTACCAGCGAGCGAGATCGGCATGATTGTCGACGCCGGTGCGGATTTCCCTTCGGATATCCGCGCCGAACTGGACGCGTTTGGAAGTGATATGTGGCGCTTTCGTCCCAGCAGCCAGGGCACCACACGCGCCATCAATAAGTACAAAGGCGAGCTTCGAGAGTCAGTGTTCTCTCTTCCCTTCCATGCGCAATAGCCCTTAAAGGACCTAATGCGCCGTCTTCAGCTTCGAGTACTTGACTCCTCGTATCCGCATAACGCCGCGTGATCTTGTGGGTACACCGTTGGCCGAACCGCGGACGCTGCACTTCATCTGTTCACCACAACGCGCACATGTCATCGTCTCCGAGCTGAAAGAGCTCAACTGGGCACCCATCACTGTCTATGAACCGATACCTGTCAGTCCATGGTATCATTCTGCCGCAGGTATCCTCCTCACATCAATCTCAGTACCGATGCGTGCCGGAGCAGTTGCCCGCGTTGATCAATGTTTTGCCTGACGTCCATATCCTGAGGTCAGTACATTGTGACAACTTCTCTACATCTAGGTAGTAATCCGGAGGGAATAACAGCCCTAACGCAGAGGAAGCACTCGCTCTCCTGAGCATAAGTGAGCCCGTCTCGCGCGAGACGATTGAACAAGCAGCAAGACGCTTCGTCGACTTCGGTATAGGACCAGACGCAAAAGGCCACGTCGTCATCCGAAGTGGTGCATTGGGGTGTTATGTGATGAGCAGAGATCGACCGGGCGAATGGATCGCCGCGTATCATAAAAGCCAATCTACTGTTGTCGATGTCACTGGCGGCGGAAACAGTTTCCTGGGTGGATTGGCGGCTGGACTGAAGCTCGCCAAAGGCGACGTGTACAAAGGTAGGTTTCCCGCAGGTACATGGGCTGGACAATGCTGACATCGCGGTATAGCGGTTTTGTACGCGTCGGTGTCGGCGTCGTTCGTGATCGAGCAGTTCGGGTTGCCAAAGTTGTCGAAGCGCGCTTCTGCCAATGATGACGGGGAGACGGAGGAGTGGAACGGGGATTCTCCGCACAGGAGGCTACAAGCGTACAAGAAATGAAACATCCGCACCTTCACAAAAAACAGCTAGCATGCCTGACCGGTATTTGATCAATAGAACATCATTACAACGAGAGAGTATTGATACATCGATTGGGCCCAAAGCAAAGCAAGTGGTGTACAGAGTTAGCAAAACGTAAAGTTCGGGGTGATGCGACGAGCAAAGTGTGGTGGGCATAGGCTCATGGCTGCGCCTGGTTCTGAAAGCGTTCTCGGCTGGCGGCAAACAGCGCCTCTTGCGCCTGTAGTAGCTCCTCCTCGGTCATGCCGGACTGGTCGAGTTTCGAGACCTTCTTCTCGCGCTCTTGCTGTGAAGAGCAGTACCGAGAGCATCAATGGCTAGTTTCAGAGCGAGATGGAGCCGCCCGTACCTTCTGTTGTTTCTTGTGCTCCTGAAGCACATCCTCAACGTCGACCTTGAACTGCTCGAAACCAAGTGTCTAGTCACAGTCACAGTCAGCATAGAGCTTCGGAGTAAACGAAAAGGCGGGAAATTCACGTTCAGCGCCGAGATGATGTGTTCCGGCGCGATCGTCTTCTTGCTATCCTTCTCGCAGATCTCGTTCGCCTCCGAGGACACAAGATGAATGAACTCTAGATTATCAAGGGAAGGATGAGCCGAGTACGTGTGCGTAGACGCGTGAAGACGCACCGACGCAGCATTCGATGATCAAGTCACGCGTCTCTTTCGAGCACGCCAGTCCGTCGGGCAAGAGTTCTGCAGGCACAAAAGGCAAAGACGCGTCTCAACTCTAGAAAAATCACTCGGAGATATATGTTCACGTACCGGATATCATCTTTGCGACCGTCGCCTTTGGCAGGGACAGATCATCGTCCCCGGGCGGGCCGCCGTGGCCCTCGCGGTCGGACATAAGGAAAAGGGATGGGAAATGTGGGGGTGAGGATCGCGGCCGGCGCGCGCGAGACGCGCCTCGCGTTATATCTTCGCCCCCCTCGCGGCACGTGCACGCGCGCGTCCTGCTTTCGACCACCATGAGCGTACGTCCCTTTGAGCCAATGTGACGGTGGTGTTTCAGTGGCTGATGGGAATGACTCGCACGCACAGGTCAACCCGGTCAACCCCAAGCCGTTTATGCAGGAGCTTACCGGCAAGCCGGTCTTCGTCCGTTTGAAGTGGGGATTAGAGTACAAGGGCTTCCTTGTCAGCACGGACGGTTACATGAACTTGCAGGTGCGTGGCTGGAAAAATTCTATCAGTGTAAATATCTGATGATAGACTAGCTTGCGAACACGGAGGAGTACCAAGATGGGCAGTCGACAGGAACGTTGGGTGAGGTCTTCATCAGGTGCGTATGATATGGTCCCGTCGATCCTGTCTGATGACTGACGCTCTTCAAGGTGTAATAATGTACTCTACATCAGGGAAGCACCAGCAGACTCATAGCGTGCCATCACCCTTTTCCTTGTGTGTCCCGAACATGAAAACACCGCGATTATTGCGGCAACTCGCGCTTGCCCATGGAGGGACGCAAGAAGCGTATCGGCAGAATCATCAATTATCTCTGTCTGCCATATTGTCTTAGCTATTATCCTGTATATCGCGCCCATCGATGTGTAATACCTACTTGTCTTGCGGTGGCGCAACGAACTGAGAGTCGCGTATTGAAGTCATGATGCTCCCTGAATGGGAAGGACTCCACTTATGTTGACGTAGAGGTATTCTCTATGCAAGAGGACGTAAGGAGCCGTGACGCGTGAACTTGGTAGAGGAAGTGCACGCGTGAGACACGGAGAGCTGTGGTTTGGTGCCGTCCGCCGGCACGCGACGCGTCTTGCTTTCGAACCATCAACCCAACGAGTGGGTAGTGCACGTCCACTACCTAATTTCTTGCTATATCATCTTATATGCTATCATGTCTGTGCTCAACTGCTTGGGAACGTTGAAAGCACCTTGCCTACGAGCCCAAGCTCGTTTCACACTGGTTCCGCCATCACATGCGCTACACAGTGCATTCAGTACTGCGAATGCACCTCGGAACTCTCTGAGGCACCCACACTCGTTATTGCGTGCCGGTGCATTATCCCAGCTATCACCAATGCTGGGCTGCAGGCAGCTATTCTCCGCCCGATGGCAACTGCATCCTGCATCTTCCGGGGTCGTGCGAACACAGGCTGCTCCTCTCAGCATAAGCCATGTTCTACGAGCGACATGGCGAGATCAGAAGAAACCCCCACCCCCACCTCGGTTCAAGGGAAAGCCCGTCAGCGGCCTTCGTGCCCGTATTGACCGCATCAACCCAAGCTACATCATATTTGGCTTTCTGGGCATCTACGGCGTTGTCTTCCTTGCCTGGACCGCGGCGAAAGGGCGTGCGGTAAGACTTCCTCGCTCATCAGCCCCAAAAGAGAAATCACCCATCTAACGCGTGGATAGAACTTGGACGGGAATCTCGATCAACTACGGTTCATGCTGAGCAACTTCGCTTTGTCGTGGCCAAATTTACAAGCCGGTAGACTGTGAGTTGTAGTAAAGTGAATGTATATACTTGAGGTTATTGTTGATACGTTCTACTCGTGGATAGATGGGTCATGATTACCGCCGCGTTCTCTCATATCGAGATATGGCATCTCGCCATGAATGGTTTCGTATTTTGGAGCCTTACACCCTTGGTGATCCGCATACTCGGCAACGCACAGTTCCTCGGCCTTTACGTAATTGGTGAGCACGTCCGGTTCTTCTCACCTCCGACCCACGTCGACGTTTCTTGTAAATAGGCGCTGTTGTCAGCAACGTCATATCTTTGGCTCTGACAGCACAACATGACAGACAGAACCATAGGTCAGTGGGAGCTAGCGGTGAGTGGTTCTGATTTCCATGTCAGCGAAATAGGATGTTCATCGAGGTCCGATGACAGGCGCTATGTACTGCGTGGCAACGCTCTGGGCTTGCTGTTACCCTAACGCGCGCATCCTTCTCTTTTTCGTGATACCCTGTCCTGCATGGGGAGCCATCACCGGCGTGCTTGCAATCGACGGCTATAACGCGTGGCTCAAGTCGAAAGGGGATTTCAACGCGGTACGTTGATATCTCTTGTCTGAGATGTATCCGGCCAAAGCTCACTATGCTCGCAGTACTCGGACAAGATTGACGTCGCAGCACATGTTGGAGGCATCCTGACGGGTCTGGCGTACTATCTCCTTCGTGTACGGTTCAAAATATAAAAGTGCTCAATCTCAATGCAATGTTTGGTGGCGCATATATACGTGATCCGACTATAGAGGACCGTCATAAGTTCGAGCATAGCACTCTATACGCATACATAAACCTTATCCGCTCAGACGCCAAAGTGCACGAATGGGACCCATCTCTCGAACGCCTCCTCGCCAACCTTATCTCTCAGCAATTCCACCGTGTAATGCAGCGCGTCCGCTGCACCAGTGTGCACGCACGTCCCATCGCCCGTACGCAGCTCGAGTAGCCTCCTATAATACGCCTCTACTATGATCGGTGCATCCGCATCTTGAATCGACCACATCGTCGCAATAATACCTTTGAACCCGACTGCCAACAGCCCCGCTGCGAGATGCAGAGACTCCTCAGGTATACTCTCGTCGCCCACAGCCGTCTCGCACGCGGAAAGGAAGGCCAGCTCTGGCTCTTTCTCAGGGTTCCTCCGCATGAGGTCCGCTAGAGTAAGCGAGCGGTCATGCAGTTCAAAGGCAGACAGCATCGGTGCACCCGGGCGACCTTGCGAGCCATGGCATGCGAAATGAACCCACTGTACGCTCTCGTCGCGCAGACACTCCAGCGTGTCCTCCACTGTGGCTCCTTCCTCCTTGAGGTAGAAAAACTGGCCTCCTGACATCTGCATGACCGCGCGTATGCAATCGCTCTCCTCTCGAACGCACGGGAGCGAACTTAACCCGGGACGCGCAGGGACGCGCTGCGCGACGAGCAGCATCGTCGGGCGCTCCGACTCATGCTCCTTTGATCGGGACGGGTCCAGACAGCGCATGAGCGCAGATAGAGATTGTGTGTAGGATGATACTGCGAAATCGAAGGCGTGTTGTGGAGGACCACCCGTTTTGCTGCCGTATATGCCGGCTGCATGTAGGGGTAGCTGTGTGAAAGGACCAGTAGGGCACCAAATAATGTGAGGGAGGGTTCCGTTATTCGTCTCTTCAGCTGGCTTGATCTGTGCACATAGGTATAAGTGACTTGCGGGATCAGGATGAAAATTGGATAGTGAACTGACAAAGTCAAGAGCTTCAAGGACGGGCTGCACGATCCATATCCACAGCAGCCCCAGCACTCGCCGGCTGAGCGCACCAGAACTATTGCGAGACGAGGCTCTCAACACAGATGATGTTGGCAGCTCGCCGCCGCGCCTCTGTGGCGCGCGTGAATGGACGAGCGTGGTCCACGTCACGCGGAGCCGCTCTGCCTTACTGTTTGAGAGTTGCGGTAGAGGCACATGTTTCACAGCGCCGCCGGGTAACAGTATCAACGCATCGCACGAAGTGAGGAAGACGACCGGCGCTTGTAGCCGAGCAAATGCTGGCGACGAAGTGAAGCTAGCTAACGTTTGCACCGGGCGCATGTAGTCTTCGAATCCTTCATGATCGCGCACGGCGCGGATCATATCGTCGTACTCCATTGCTTTCTGCCTGTAGCTCTCCGCGAACGAATCGCCGTAAACGTCGGTCTTGCGCTTTAGATCATCCAATTCGTCTGCCAGCAACCAACCGCGCATCTCCCAGAACCTGCTTTGAAGGAGATAAAGTTGCAGCACCAGTTCGTTATGGCGTTCCTGCAGCTCCGCCGGAAGTCGGTATACAGACAATATCTGCGTCCATATGATGCTCTGGCCTGCTTCGAGCCACTCCATGGCTTTTACCGCGTTCCCCGCCCCGAGCGCCGCATGCACAGCCGCGCTCACAATGGCTCGTGCGCGCCCGGCCTCCGTGATTTGGCGCTGCAGGCTATGGCCGTGCCAAACAAGCTCGGGAATGACGTTCATGAGGCGTGAGTACGCGACGAGCAGCGCTTCTGAATCGGGGCCGCAGAATTCGGCGTTTGCGGTGTCGGTTAAGAAGCGTACGTGCGTCTGGGCGTAGTGTAAACGGTCCATAGGCAAGACGCTGGTTTCCAGATGCAGGCCCTTGCGCAAGATATAGTATTCTTGCGGCGGAGGTTCGAATATGCGTTTATGGAGTGCAGTAATGACATCAAAGTCTTGCTGTGTGCGGCATGTTGCAGAGCGCGTGGTGAGCACGAGAGAAAGGCTATATAACATACGCGCTCTCTGGGGATGACCTTCGGGAACAAGAGCTAAAGCGCGGCGGGCGACGTCCTCGGCATCCTCGATATCCCGCCGGTCGCCAAAGCGGACAAACCGAGCTATCAGGGATGCTGCGAGGTTGACTAATAGCGTCGGGCGGCGCCCAGACGCAAGTTCCACTGCACGTCGATCCGCGGTGAGAGCATCCTCGATATCGGCGGGCTCCGCAGATCCAGAGACGTGGTACTGAGCGCGCAGGGAACACGCTAGATTGCTCAGCCGCGATGGTAGCGCGGGGTCCCAGTCTTGAGAGAGTGCCACCGCCCGCCGGTCGGTGGTGAGCGCTTGTGCGAGATCGTCGGCGTCACCGAGATGACGGAAGCGAATGTACAGCGACGTGGCAAGGTTCGTCAGCTGCACCGGATCGTCTGGTGCAAACGCTATGGCCAAACGGTCGGCCTGGAGCGCTGCGTCGAGGTCGTCGGGGTCGCGGTAGTGCTCGAAGCGCGCAAGCAAACATGTTGCGATGCCGTTCATGCGCGCAGAGATCTCCGGCCGTACGTCGTCCTCGTCCACAGCGGCGACCGCTCGCCGAAATTCCCGCAGTGCCGCTGTGAGGCTGTGCGGGGCACCATAGTGCTCGTATGATAGCAAATGGCAAATCGCCTGGCGAAAAGCCCAGCGACCATGACTATTGTCGCCGAAGTTGAACTCCAGCTCAGACGCCTTGTTCCATGTCAACAACGCCTCTTTGAGATCATCCTTCTCATGACAGACGTGAAAGCGGCGGAGCAGCGCAACGGCGAGGTTGTTCAACCGCATGAGGCGCCCGGGCGGGGTGTACGGTACGATTGCTAGGGCATGGCGGGTGTCTTCGAGCTTGGCGGCACGGACCCCTGCCTCGACCGCGCTTTCCAAGTCGATGAGCTGCCCGAAGTGGTCAAAACGGGTGATAAAGGACACAGTAAGGTTGTCGAGGCGTAGAGGTAGGTCCGGGTGGTCAGGCGCGAGCAACGCTACAGCGCGTCGGTCTGCATCTACCGCTTCATCGATGTCGATCACCGCCGCGGAGTGTTTGGAGAGCGTGAATCGGCACCGCAAACATGCTGCCAGGTTATTCAGCCTGAACGGGAGACGAGCGTCATCGTTCGGTGTGGCTGCTACGGCGCGACGGTGTGCGTCAATGGCGCGCTCTAGATCGCCGACATCACCGAGGCGGTCGAACCGCGTCTTCAAGCTAAGCGCGAGGTTGCTCTCCCGCGGCGGGCGCATTGGGTCGCCATCCAACGTGAGCTCCACGGCGCGCTGGTCGGCGTCAACCGCACAATCGATGTCATCTGGTTCGCTGTATTGACTGAAGCGCGTCAGGAGAGACGTCGAAAGTCCATTGAGCCGTTCAGGGAGCTTTGGGTCGTCGTCGCGTGTGAGCTCGACGATGCGGCGGTCGGCTTTGAGCGCGTCTTCGAGGTCGATGCGTTCGCAGGTGCGCTCAAATCGCGCCCATAGCCGGTTCGAGAGTCGCTGTAGCTGCGGCACTCCTAGCTCGGTAAACTCGGTGCGTCGGAGGAGGGCGGAGGGTAGCGCTACTGCAAGGCGGTGCTTGGAGTCGCTTGACATTTCTTTTGCCTCAACTCCAGGCCCCGATCCCTGCGCCGAAGCACGCGCATTCGAATGGGGATATGAAGAGATCCACACTACACGGACGCGCACTAGTACTGCTTATAACCCAACTCGTGCATCAATGGCCATCTGCATTCAATGGTGTCAAGGATCAGAAGATCTGATTCGTGTGCGGACGTCGACTCGTAGGATAACATCGTGAAAGGAATACATGAGGTACGGTGCTCTAAGCGTGAGGGAAGAGATCGATGGTCTATGCGAGGAATAAGGATGGATCTAAGGTAATCATTATGCTTTCAAGCCGGCCTTCTCGATCTCCTCGGCAGTGATGGAGCTGCCGACACACATACTATGGAAGATGCCCTCCGGCAGACTGAAGAGATTGAGCGGCGTATCAAATTCCTGCATGGAAGTCAATCTCAACGCTCGGCATCCTAGAAGCATGAAACTCACAGCAATGTTGCCGTTGTCAAGAACTAGAATGCGGTCGTAGGAAAGGATAGTGCGCAGACGGTGGGCGATGCACAATAGAGTTCTGTCGGTGAACTCTGATTGAATCGTGTCTTGAATCTTGCTATCCGTCTCGAGATCCACGGATGCGCTGTGGACGGCATCAGTCGTGCAGCCAAAGAAGATGAGCGGATATGACGCACGTCGCCTCGTCGAGCACAACGATCTTGCTGTCCTTTACCAACGCGCGAGCAAGACTCAACAACGAACGCTCTCCGACACTCAAGTTCGCGCCATCGGGTTCAACAGGCGAATCGAGCGTAATGCGACTAGCGGGCGCGGGGGTGCCGTCACCGGAGGCCTTAGGCACCAGATAAGATCGCCTGAGTGCATCCCATAGTCGCGCGTCGTCGTGCAGGTTGAATGGGTCCAAATTTGAGCGCACAGTACCACTAAAGAGGAGCGGCTGTAGGATCCAGTGAGCGAGTATTCTGCATGGAAGCGAACAACAACGGCTACCTCCTGTGGAATGATAGCGATTTTTGAGCGCAAATCCTCAAGACCCATCTTCGAGATATCCAACCCGTCAATTGCGATGGACCCAGAGTTCAGCTCGACGAGACGGAAGAGCGCAGTCATGAGCGAACTCTTTCCGGCGCCCGTACGTCCAACGATACCAATGCGCTCGCTCGCGCCCACGCTGATCGACAGACCCTTGAGCACGTCCGGCAATCCGGGGCGGTACGAGAGCCGGACGTCCTTGAATTCTATCGCTCCCTTGTCGGGCCATTGCGCAGGCGGCTTCGCGTCGGGGATCTCGTGAGGCGCCTCGGGAGAGACTGCATTCCCGACGCTATAGTGCGATATGCGCTCGACCGAGTTCATGTAGTTCTCCAGCTCGGCCTGTTGGCGCGTCATGGCACCAGCCGTTTGCGTGACGATAGCTGCGAGGCTTTGTCAGTATATCATTCATCGTACAGCAGTCCATAGTGCGTACTGATGTAACTGAGCGCGAGACCGAT